TCTCGTGATCAAAGAACCCGGAAGTGCTCAAAGCTCATGGTAGGACGGCGCCTTCCTTGAGCGACAGGAACGCCCCAGCAAGGCTATCCTGTGAGACGAAAATGCTACGACCACTTCTACCACTCGCCTTAGTCCCCTGCAGACTGTTCCTGCCCAGTCCGGTAGCGCTGGATCAGCACACAGTCGAAGGCGAAGAAATCTCAGGGCCGTAGGCTACCGTAGGAAAAGGACAAGAATGAGCCATCTGATTACATGCACTTACAATTGCAGGAGCGTCAGTACGGCCATTCAGCTCTCAACCTTAATTGAAGAAACGCAACGAATTTCATATCATGTGATCGGGCTGAGCGAAACGAAGCGGAAAGAGCCCTTGACGTGCATATGGAGCGATGGAACCGCTGTCTTCCTCGGAGCTAGAGAATCAGGAACGACATCAGGAGGAGTCGGATTTATAGTGGCACCTGGATTCACAAAAAATGTCACGAGTGTCACGTTTCACAGTCATCGATTCGGAATCTTGACCGCAACTCTAACGAAGGACATCAGCGTCTCTATCATTCAGGTGTACGCCCCAACGAGTGACAGTAACGAAGATCAACATGAGGACTTTTACGATGACCTTGGCGAGCTAGTTCGATCACAGAAAAGCAGTTATGTGGTGGTATCTGGAGACTTTAATGCACGAGTTGGGTCAAGAAGACCAGAAGAACATTTCATTGGACCACACAGTGCAGAACAACGAAACGCAGCTGGAGAAAGGCTGGCAAACTTCTGCGAGATATACCATATGTATCACGGGAATAGTCAGTTCGTTAAAGCAGTAAGGAAAAGATGGACATATGAGTCCCCGAATGGGCAGCATTACCACGAACTCGACCATATCCTATGCAGCAGAAGGGCCATCACAGATGTTGGAGTAGTCCCATCATTCAATACCGGAAGCGATCATCGTCTTCTTCGCGCAAGACTGCACTTCGAACGAAGTCATGTGCGCCTGACACGAATACGATCAAGACAACCGCGGGCGACTATTCTTGATACAGATGCGCTAAAGGCGATGGTAGACGACGTATCCTTGGACATGAAAAACAACATAAATGAGGACTATGACCATATACTAAACACAATCTCCACGCTTGCTTCACAATCGCGCATCATGGCCCCCAACCACAACTCCCGTAGAATATCGGATAACACCCGGAATCTTCTAGCGCAGAGGAGACAAATGGACCGACATCAAAATCATGTTGAATACACATTGCTTAATCGGCTCTGCAGACAAAAACTCGCTGAAGACCACAGGAATTTCTACCGCTGCCGTCTATTGGAAGCCGCATCCAGCAAACGTAGCATGAAGAAAACAAAGAGAGAGATGGCACAATACCGCCTAACGATTTCTTGTCTGAAAGGTCCCGATGGATTAAGAACTACGTCTCGGCCACAAATGGAATCGATACTGACGAATTTCTATTCAAACCTTTTCAAATCAGATCACGGCACCTCCACTGAACAGTTACCAATCGGCGAAACGGTGCCATCGTTTTTACCATCAGAAGTTCGTTGCGCAATCGAAACAATGCCGAGAGGAAGAGCTCCAGGAGCTGATGGTTTATCCTTGGAGGCCTTACAAGCATGCGGTCATAAAGTTTATTGTGCTTTAGCTCAACGTTTCACTCGTTACGTTCAAGAATGCGAAGTTCCGGCCGCATGGAGAAAATCCAAAACAATTCTGCTCTTTAAAAAAGGAGATAAGGAAGACTTGGAGAACTATCGACCAATCACGCTCCTACCAGTGATATACAAAGTGTTTACGCGATGCCTTCTTGCTCGAGTTAGAAAGAAACTAGACGAAGCTCAGCCAATTGAACAGGCAGGATTTCGACGAAAGTTCAGCACTTTGGATCACATTATCACCTGCTGTAGAATTATTGAAGCTGCTCGAGAATATCACGAACCACTGATACTAACGTTCATTGACTATCGAAAAGCATTCGATTCAGTAGAGCGAGAAAAGATATGGTCAGCTCTCAATGAACAAGGCGTCGAACTCCGTTATACGAAAATCTTGAGTGAATGCTACTCTGGATGTAGCACAATATTTCGACCGTTCTTTCGTGATTTAGAGGTGACTGTGGAAAAAGGAGTCCGCCAAGGAGACCCCATTTCCCCGAATCTATTCTCTGCTTGCCTGGAGTCTACAATACGTAACTGCGATTGGCATGACACAGGAATCAAAATTGATGGAAGATATCTAAATCACCTAAGATTTGCCGATGACATAGTACTGATCTCAAGAACTTCAGAACAAGCTTCACAAATGCTCAGTGACCTACATGCAGCAGGAACAAAAGCCGGTTTGAACATCAACATGAATAAAACGAAGTGCATGAGGAATGAGTACTCAGACAGAGATCCTGTTTTCCTACAGGGTGAAGCTCTGGAAGATGTCGATGAATATGTTTATCTTGGCCGACTGCTTAACATGAAAAACGACCTAAAAGGCGAAATAGTAAGGAGGAAAAAAGCTGGCTGGGCAACGTACAATTCAGTCAGGAATGTGATCGAAAATACCAGAGACGAAGAACTGCGAGCAACCCTGTTCAACTCCACAGTACTACCAGCTCTGAGCTACGCTAGTGAAACTTGGTCCCTGACGAAAAATTCGGAAAACCAGTTAAGAAGGATACAAGCTTCACTTGAGCGTCGAATGGTTGGTGTAACCCTACATCAACAACGGATCGCCAGATTACACAACGAAGACATACGTTCGATGTCCAAAGTTCGCGATATCATTTCGCATATCGACAAGGCAAAACACACTTTTGCTGGACATCTTATTAGGCGAGACGACGGACGTTGGAGCACTACAACTGTGCGCTGGGAACCTCGCGACAGGAAACGACCTCGCGGTCGGCCCCCTCTGCGATGGCAAGACTCTCTTGCTCACAGAAACAATATTTGCGATTCTAATTCAATTAAGGTATTAGTCCATTGGACGACATTGGCTCAAGATAGAACATCGTGGAAAAGAAGTTGGGACCCGCGCAAGAACAATCGCTGATAACGGGTCGCCAAGTAATCCAAGTAAGTAAGTAATATAGTAAGGAAGAAGCTGCTGAAGTGTGAAGATTACTCCCTTTTCACAAGTGGTGCATTTGTTTTTAAGGTCTACTAGTTCGCAAGAAACTGTCGAGGAAACTCCTCAAGCAACTCGAAATCTCTATTTCCCCCTCGTCGTAGCAAGAAACTTGTTCGAGGTCCTCAAAATGCTTGTGGAACACATCACTGCAACTGAATGAGAAGGATATGATAGACTTGGTGCGGATCTATTCCGTTCTAGTATGCGCCATTGACCTTATTCGGAGCCATTTGAAAGTGTTTTGCCTACAAACCAATTTACTTGCGCAGCCGAAAGGTGTTTCGAACTTGAATCAATCGAAATAAGTTCTTATGGTTATAGTGTAGCCTGATCACGTGCTTCTAGTCATGCCTTCTTTCTGAATCCTTCTTTAGATCTATGGCGGGTTTGCGGCTGCAGTATTGTGATAACGCGACAGAAGAATCGATCATGAGTACGTTTTCACTGCCAATTCCTTACGATTGTTTTGCAGAACCGTTTCCCCACTATTTCATCAACCTGATCACTACGAACAAAGCCAGTAACCATTTTACATTTGAACTTTACTTCCAGTCATGTATCCCAGACAGTTGTGGATTTAATTTGCATTATACTAACTAACAATGACGGCGAATGACTGGCGCGGCACCGTTGCGAACTTTGTAGTTGCGAACGCCTGTCCTTTCATCGGACGAAATACGGCCCCCTGTCGAGGATTTCCCCGACCGTTATTCACCCTGGGGTGAAAGGAGACTAAGCAGGATCATGATCATTGTTCAAAAAGCCGCCGTCGCTCATCATGTGACAAAAATTCCGGCTCTTAGACCACTCTGTAATGTGCAACGAAATCTGCACTCAGTACAAATTAATCGAGCAAATTCCCCAACATCCTTGCAACAGAGTTCATAAGCATTTTCCAGAGTCAATTCGAAAAGTCGGAATTTAACATGGTGGGAAACACGTTGAGGGTTTATGGACTTCCATAGGGCAAAATCACCACAGCTTTCCGGAAGAAGGTGAATTTGATGGAGTACCAATGTCTATTCAGCGCACCGGAAGAATACACAGAAACTGCAAGGTCTTCTGCTAACGAATGGGGAACAAAAATCCTCTTAATGGCGAGCCGCATGACAATACAAGCTGCCTGACAAAAATTGGACGAAGTAGCCTACGTGATTTTGCTTCACATGCTACTGCCGTACTCAGTGTATTCCTTGCATTTACCATTATCCCCTTTTGACCATCTCGAAATCTTTCCAAGCAAGAAATTTTCCAAAATCAAAGCGTGTCACAAGACCATCTGCGCCTCTGAGATTCGCGAGTTAACGTTAACAGGACAGAACAGTACGCTTTCCGGTGAGAATTCTCAACCGTTGTGTAGTGCACCTCACTGATTTTTGATATTACTAATAACGTTTGTTTAGTGCTCTGTGGTATACTGCTATGAAGATAGAACTCAATACCTACAAACCTTCTGAATAACATAACAAAACCTTAGAGCTGCTCAGTGAACTCACCCGTGGA